CCTAAACCCTGCAATGCTAAATAATGCGAATACGAATTATACTGATTGCAACTACTAATTGCAAACTCTAACGCCGAATCCTAAATCCGTAAACCAACATGCGCAAGGCGCGCGTAATCCTAAACCCTTTTTCAGCACGGACTGGGGATCTGGCCAGTGCCTAAACCCCAAACCCTAAATAAACTAAACCGTAAGTCCCAACAGCACAAACCCTAGACCCTGAACCGAAAAAACCCAACAGCCACAATTGACCCACCCAAATGAGCCCTTATGCCCCTGTCAAAACACATTCTCAGCTTCAACTTCTTGCTCGTTGGGGGTGGGGGGGGTGGGGGGGATGATGGCAACCATGTTTTCATGCTTGTACCTTATCTAAGTCAATGCTGCTTGCGTTTTCATGTGCTTGTCGTCTGGGAGTGCGGGCTGCTGACAAGCAGGTTCACGTTTCTTGTTGTACCCAAGTATTGGCAGAAGATGTGGACGCCACCTGACCTAGACAGCGTAGACTCAGCGCAGCAATTGCTGTCGTGTCTGTTGTGCAGGTGACCATTTATTTGATGTCAATATAAGCACTATGTCATTCAATGGGAGATGCCGTGCAACTGCGTGGAAGGTAAACTATTTGTGTCGGTTCTCTCCGTGCTGGCAGCACGAAGGCAACTTCGAAGCTCTTGCAAACTCAAGGCTGCAAAAAGGCCCGGCCTAGGTTTTCATGTCAAGTAAGGCTGGCGTGCACAGCGAAATCAGTATGGCAGCAATGGCCGCGCCAGGCCATAAACCCTAAACCGTGAAACCCCAACAGCCTTTTGCACCTGCACTATGCATATGCCAGGAACCCAGGCACCGACTGTTTTGGACCCCAAGAGCCTTTTTTGCATCGGGCCTTTACCACCGCCCGGTAATCCCCAAGAGCCTAAACCCTAAACCGTAAAACCCCAAACCCTAAACCCTAAAAACCATACACTCCCTAACCCGTAAAAGCCCCAACAGCCTAAAGCTGTAAACCTCAAACCCTGAACCCTAAAAGCCCTAAATGCTGTAATCGCAACCCACCCAGCCACCCAAACCAACCACCCAGTGACCGCCCACCCGACGGCCCCCTGCCACCACAAAACAATAGGTTCACGGCAGGTGGCTGTGAACCTATCAATTTGCACCCCACCCATCCCCAAAGCTACCACCCACCCACCCACAATCTGATGCTCATGATGCCGGCCCCCTGCCCCTACAAACAATAGGTTTGCGGGCATGCCGTTGCGAACCTATCAATTTAATTTGCACCCCCCCCTCCCCGAGAGTCACCACCCACCCACCCATCCGCCCCATCCAGAAGCTGATTCTCATGATGCTTGCCCGCACCGTCCCAGTAAACAGACTGATGCCCACACTAACCCTAAACACCTTTCTTTTCACACGTACTGAGGCCGATGCTTGTGACCGGAGAGAACGTTCTCCGAACAGCTCCCTGCAACACCTAAACACCAAAACCGACGCGTGCTCCCGGCGCACATAACCCTACGCCATTTTTTGTTTCTTAAACATCCTTTTCTAACTGGCCTTTGATTTAAACCCTAAACCGTAAAAAAACCCAACAGCCCAGACCGTTTTATCTGCAGGCTTGCAGCCTAAACCCCAGAAACCCTGAATCGTAAAACCCCAAAAACCCTTGAGCCATTCTACTGATACGAATATTTTTAAGAAAAAAAACCAAACTCTAAACCCTAACCCTAAACCGGTAAACCGCATGGTCCAGGCGCGCGAAACCCTAAACCCTAAACCCTTCACCAGAAATCACCAACCCTGTCTAACAAACCCTAACTAAAAGCTAACCCTAAACCCGTAAACCACGCGCGCACGCGCTAGGCGAGCGTAACCCTAAACCCAATCCGCACAACCCCAACCGCCTAAACCCGAAACCCTACAACCGTAGACCTCAAACCCTAAAAGCCCTAAACCCTATAATCGCGCGAAACACTAACGAGGGAGGACGGGGAGGGAAGGATGACAGGAAAGAGGGGGCAAGATTACCCTTAATCTTGCCAATCTTGCTTTCTTGCTAATTTTGGTTTGGGGCATCTGCTAAGCAGTGCGAGGGGCATTGTAATCTTGTAATCTTGTACCACTTGCACTTGCATCCTCCTATGCACCAGACGAACATCACGATCACCACGATTGCCCCCTCCCCTTACGAGTAGCAGTAGCAGTAGCAGCAGCAGCAGCAGCCGTGGCAGCAGCAGTAGCAGTAGTTGCTGCTGTCAAATCGGATCCCAAAACGGATGCAAAAAGGCACTTCTCCCAAGGAAAAATGCTGTTTAGGATCCGTTTTAAGATGCGTTTTGCTGGGGCCGGCGCCCAGGCCCAACTCGGCCGCGGCCGAAACAGGGGCGGGGCCAGGACGGATCCAAAACGGATCCCAAAACGGATGCCACAACGATCCAAAGCAGATTCAAAAAGGATCCAAATATGCACTTTTCCCCAAGAAAAATGCGTTGGGGCCGAGACGGTGGCAGGGCCAGCACAGATCCAACACGGATTCAATCACGGATGCGTTTTGCTGGGGCCCAACCGGGCCGGGTGGCGGGGGCCAGGGCCGAAACCGGGGCGGGGCCAGGACGGATCCAAAACGGATCCCATACGGATTCGAAAACGGATCCGCACGCGCTTCAAGCGCACCCCAAACGAATACAAAACGCATTCAAAACGCACCCAAAAACGCATCCAAAACGCATCTGCAAACACACATACATTCCAAACGTATTCCCCCGTGCATTTAAAACGCATTTGCAGGCTTTGCACAACGTCCCAGTGTTAGCAGAACCAGATGTTCACAATGGTAAGTGGCAATGTGGCTGGCAATGTGGTCGTGTTGTGGCGTGGTAGTAGCGTGGTAGTGGTGTAGTGGTCGTGGTAGTGGTTGTGGTAGTGGTCGTGGTGGTGGTGCTGGTTGTGGAGGTAGAATTAGTGGTAGTCGTTGTTGTTGTGCCTAGTGGTAAGTGGGACTTGTAAGTGGCAGTGGTAGTGGAGGTGGTAGTGACAGTGTCAGTGGTAGTTGGTATTGGTATTCTTAGCTGCAGCAGCCCTCAGCAGCACAGGTAAGAGCAGCAACAAAAACAGCAGCAACAATACAGTAGGTATTGTCGTAATTGCAGGTGTTGTTGTCGTCGTCGTCGTAGAAGTAGTTTTTGTCGTCGTCGCAGTCGTGGTGGTAGTCGGCGTCGTGCTCGCGGTCGTCGCGGTCGTCGCGGTCGTCGCGGTCGTCGCGGTCGTCGCGGTCGTCGCGGTCGTGGCGGTCGTGGCGGTCGTGGCGGTCGTGGCGGTGGTGGTTGTGGTTGTTGTGTTGAAGTTGTGATTGTTGTAGTGACTGTTGTGGTTGTTGTTGTTGGTAAGCACAAAGACTGGAGCCCCATTCGATTTGTTTAAAAGGAAGGCACGGGGCGCGCCCCTGCGGGGCGCGCCCCCCGGAGGTTGTGCGGGGGGGGGGTGTAGAACAACACACGGGGCACCAGGTTTTGTTTCTTCTACCAGACTGGCAACAACAACCTCGGTTCCGGGTGGGCATGGGTTGCCAGGAGGGGGGGGGGGGGGTAGAACAACACACGGGGCACCAGGTTTTGTCTCCAGTCTGGTAGAAGAGACAAAAGCAGGAAGTTGTTGTTGGAATGGGGCTCCTGTTTTTGTTCGTTCCTTGTTGTTGTTGTTGTTGTTGTTGGTGGCGGCGGCGGCGGCGGCAGCGAGGGCGGGGGCGGTGGGGGCGGTGGGGGCGGTGGGGGCGGTGGGGGCGGCAGCGGTGGCGGTGGCGGTGGCGGTGGCGGTGGCGGTGGCGGTGGCGGTGGCGGTGGCGGTGGTGGTGGCAGCGGCGGCGATGGTGGGAGGCAAGTGTTGGGTTATAGTGTTGGCACTACGGCTACTGTTGTTGCTGTTGCTACGTGTTGTCCTGTTGCAGTACTCGTTATTGTATCTTGTTGTGGTCGTGGCAACCATCATCGGTGTGTTCGTCTTGATCGTGGTAGCGGCGCTGGTGGAAAAAGGTACCACCAGCAGCACCACTAGTAAAAACATGTCTTCGTGGAAACAAAACAAAGCCCCCAACATTCCAAGTCCAAACTCCAAGGCGGCGCAATAAGGGCTTGCGGGGAAAACCTTGACGGGAAGTGCACGAGGCCTCTCGCTTTGCAGACACCGACTTTTTGCGGCGCAGCGCCAAACATGTTCGGCAATGTCCATGGCATCGTTCACGGCCGCGCATCTCTGTCATTGAGGAACGTCACCTGGCTTACAGACGGATGCACGGGGCAGTTCGCAAGGAGACCCAGAGCTTACAAGCTGCTGGCTTCCGGGTTTTCTGATTCCAAGCCCAAGCAGCAGTCCGAACCCAGCTGCTACTCCCCAAACAACACCTGAAAGACAGTTGAAGGTATACCCTACATGCCAAACATTAGAGACCCGGCCGACCGAGGTCCTCGTCCGGCTGGCACCTTTTCTTCAGAGATGTCTCAATCTTGTCCTTCTAGAAACGAGTGGACCCAAGATTCTAGGAGGTCGGCGTCACCAGGTATCTGTAAGGCGGAGTATTGCTTGGCTGGCTTTGGCACGAAATATGGGCACGGCCCCTCTCCCGATCTGATTCAACTTGGTAAGAAGATTGATTGTCTCGTCAGTTGGATGCAGGGACATCAGGCAAGCCAGCTGTCTGCTGTTGTGGGCCGTGCTCCAAGCCGTTATGGTGTTCTGGTTTTCTGCGGGCGTTTTATACCACCTCAAGCAGGAGACAGACATCCACTCAAATCATCAGTTTGCATACAAACGAACCCTACCTACCTACTCTTTTAGCACTCGCTCTCGTACTTACATATGTCATTGCATGAACGGCGAATCCTGCAAAGGACGCCACCGTCTTCACCCTTTATCCCACGCCTGGCTGCAAAGACAATCAGTCCAAGCTCTTAACGAGAAACCGCCAGTTTCGAAACCCCAAACCCCAACTAAACGGGAGACCTTGGTCAGATCTGGACGGATTCGATGTTCAGCGGGATGCGCTCGCCGGGCCTCGTCACATTTCACTAACAACTACAGGGGGGGTTCCGAGCAAAGGGGGGGTGCGAACAGACCCCCATAGAGCAAGAGTATCCTCTATTAAGATAGGATAAGATAACCACAAGCTTCAGAAAGCGACGGACATGCAGAAAGCGACAGAGCCATGCAAAAACAGTAACGCAGACTGAGCGCATCTAAACTCAAATTGAAACAACATCCACCTAGTCCTTCTCGTCATTACTGCCATCATTGACCATCATCATCATCATCATCTCCGTCGTCCTTTTCCTCTTCTCCTTATACCCAAGCATCAACATAGCATACCGACATGGAGTGTCCAGACCACAACAACCAAACCCTTAGAAACTACTGGAATGCCTTTGCAGGACCTACTCTAGACATGTAAGGACTACAGTATCCAGAAATCATGACATGAATGCACTATGACATTGCAATACATACGTGAATGCACATAGGTATAGGAGGGCCGAACTCATTGGGATCCCGGCCTGGGGTAGTGCAAGAAGCGCAGGAGCATGTCCTTGGCGAGTTTCTTCGGGCGGAATCTGTAGCGGAGCTTTAGCAAACGCTCGAAAGCTAGCGTCATGGTGCAAAGTAGGGTGCACGTACAAGGGCGCCAACTGACCGATCTGTATGTAGCTCCGAAGAGAATCACATACAAACTACCGGAAATCCGAAGCTGCTATACTGCACAGCCCGAACTGTCTTCGGAAAAAACACCTAGCCGGATTCCGCGTTCTGTTTGTGCAAGCGGTACTTACTCCCGTTCCGCGGCTGTTCAGCGAATGCCTACAGCCACTGTACCCTTTGCCGGATATGCGCTGAGCCAGCCTCACCACTCGAAGTTCATAGTACGGCCTGAAATCAAAAGTGATGACTACCGCGTCGCTGAGAGCTTCAGCCATTGTTCTATTTACCAAATTCCACTGCTTAACCGTACACCCCGAACCTCGAACTTATTCCTAGCCGTGAGACGACGGCGGAGAGAGGCTGATTCATGGGCACCATGTGTCCTGTTGGGCTCAGAGGCAATCTTTTCCACTGTAGTTTGCTTCTGTGCTTGCCGGGATAAGCATCATCTGGCTTTGGGTGTTGTCTCTATCCTCACAACAACCACCACAACAACAACCACAACAACGGCCACAACAACGGCCACAACAACGGCCACAACAACCACAACAACCGCAACAACCACAACAACCACAACCACATCAACAACAACATCGTCATCCTTACAAGCCTTATCATCATGATCCGTCCTGATTCTCATCTGTCCTCATCGCCCTGATCTATCGCCGTCTTTGCTGCCACCACTGCTTCTATCAGTGCCTTCCTCACCCTTATATGCTCTTCGGATACTTCTCACATCATCATGGCTACCCGTTTATTATAATCACCATCATCATCCTCCGCATCGTCGTCATCATCAATATCAACACCGTTGTCATCATCCTTTTCTGCTTCCACTTCACAGCCTGCGCAACCAACAGTTTCCAAGCAGTTGTAAACTCTACACCCTCTCGGGCGACGATGGGCGACGGGCATCCTGCCGCCAGGACCACCACCTGTTCCTTGCTCGGCGTCGGCGGGGCTTCACGGGACCAAAAGCCAAAGCCTTCTACACATGCTTGCAGTTTATATTCTCGTCAGACACGCCTGCCCTGAAAGCCCAACACTGTAGAGGTGTAGAGTCGGCAGGATACGCCCGGATCACAGCACAACACCACATCTCAGGAAAACTTCGGCTTTTGTATGCAGACTACAACAAAACGATGCTGCTGCAGATCCCACGGGCTTTGGGTGTACGCCGGCGAGCTGGACTCTCTTCATGAGACCTAAACCCTAAATTCTAGACGTTGGACTGGTGCAAATTGAGCCCGGGACCAGGTTTTGGAATCCCCGCCAGTAGCCTCCATGCGGCTGGGCTAGGTCGGCAGCTTTCGAAGCTTTCAAGCATAGGTTCTTGTTTGAAGGTTCCGGGCCAAGGGTGCTGTATTCAAGGTTGTCGCACCAACCCATCATTGAGAGGGTGAGATAATGCTGACAGGATTTCAGGACAACTTCATGGGGTCTCAGGAAGCTTTGATTGGCTCAGGTGTCGGTTGACCGGGACGGAAGTTCTGGCTCGTTCAGTGTTCTGGGTTTGATGATTTGAATTTCTGGTTCAGTTCTGCTGATGTGTCTGGAGCCACCCGTTTTGGTACAAGGGGAAACCTTTCTTTGGCTGTGGCGTCTTGGGCGGGAGGACCAAGAGCATTGAGCTTTTTCGGATTTCACAAGAGGCGAAAGTTTGGGAATTTAGGCTTGCTTTTTTTGAAAAGGAGTCGATGATTGATACGACACGTCATCGACGGAATTAAACGTGCTCGTCGGGGTGATGCATATTGATCCCACGCTCAAAGGAAACAAGGAAAATGCACTCTGAACCTTGTGGAACTGCAAACCCTCAACACGTGCTCTAGACTGAGACCTGCTTAAAGTTCTGAAGCTCCCAGCATACGCTTGAAATGTCGCAAAGCCTTGCATTCTGCCAATGCCTGAAATCTGGTGCAAATTGTTTATTCTTCATGCTTGCTTTTGGATGCTTTTGGAGGTTCTGTCCTGACGGCCTGGTCGTTTTGTATTCGTGGGGCGGACAGTGCGAAGCTCAGAATTCTAAGTGTGTCGCTTCGGGGAGTCGAATCTGCTCAACGATACGCAAAACAGGAACAAGCGGATTCATACCTTCCTGTGGTTCATTGGCCTCACTTTCACCGCGAAGTGGCCTGCAATCCGGCCATCGCTGGCGCGGCGCCAGACAGTGCGATTCGCTTCCAAGAAGGATGCCATGCCTCTCAGGGGGTGCTTACTGATAGTCTCGAGCGACGTGAGGCGCGAGGCTTCGAAGTAAGGCCGAAGGAAACGATTTTATGCCAGAGACAAGATGGGGCAGGATGTTGAATCGGGATGCGGGGGACACGACCTTACAACACAAAGAGCATCTTCCGACGAACACGTTGCACAGGAGCCACCAGTGTTAGCACGTTTATGCTCTATCCTTGGGCTACATCATCGTGGCCCATGGCTTTTTGAATGCCCTGTATCGACATATCCAAAGCTTTAGCAGCAGATTCCTGCAGGCATTCGAAGGCGACATAATTAACCGAATTAACCAGTTGCACGCAGAGCTTGAACCACCAATTGCTTTGGTCAACACTCTCGCTTCGATTTCCGTCTTTTTGGGTGTCGGCAACATTGATGGCATGGTGATGCTGCCCGCTGCTCTGGCCATGATGATGGTCGCTGATCACTTTACCCCAACGCGGTCGTTCACCTTTTGGCAATAAAACATTCGCCCAACAGTCTCGCAGGCAAGTAAACTACCCACCTGCCTGCAGTCTGTCACCCCTAAACGGTTGCACATGGTCAGCATGGCAAACTCAGCACGCGTGCGGCGTGCTCCCGACCATACCCCATCTGGTACGAAGGGCGGGAATTACAAGCAGCGAACAGCTGTGACATGTAATTCCGGTACCTGAACTCAAACACACATACGCACAAACCGAGGTTGGACACGTTACCTCGAGTGATCGTGCTGCACGTGAACTTTAAATATTCCATCACTTTAACCTAACGCCGTCGGACACTTTTTTGGGTAGCAAAACATTCGCTCGATAGTCTCGCAAGCAGGTAGGCTACCCACCTGCCTGCAGTCTGTCACCCCAAAGCAAAGCCGCGGCCTTGTGTCTGGCCGGCACTTGCGCAGCCCCTAACAAAGTGCGGATCAGGCGCCTGGTAATGCGATGTAGATACGTGCAGGTGCGAACACACTGCATGCCGGAAAGAAATCAGCAGCAGCCAGAGACCCAGTCTTAGACGCGCGTCAGGACGGCACCTGGTGAACAAATCTCTCACATGACTCAACACAGGCAAAACCACCAACCACTCACCCTGTGCACCAAGTCTCCCAGCCGTTTTGTGTTGTCGATCCTGCTGAAGATGGCTCCAGAACCCTGGCAACTTCTGCTGGCGTCCGGCATCCACTCAAGCATTCCGCTCGTCTTCGACATGCGAGATCATCAGAGCAATCCCATGCCCAGCCCATGCCCCAAATTGCCCCAAGAAGTTTCAACGGTGGCCTGCAGCACACTTGAGAGTGGTTGTGTCATGGACGACCCACGCTTGACAGCTCACACAACTCCTTGGTTGATGCAATGTTGCCGAAGGACCATGTGTCCGACGCATACTGGGCGTGAATCTGGCTAGACCTCCCGCATAAAAAGGGGCACACATGACTAGCTGCGCCAGTGCTTGCAGGACTCTAAGGCACTTGCTTCATCCACTGCTGAAGCAAACCGTGGAACACATCCTCTGCATACTCTGGATCCCAATCAGCATCCGAAATGACGCCGCCAGCCCCATTTTGAAGGCCGCTGTGCTGCTCATGCGGAAGATCGTCCTAGCGCCGTCGGCTTGAACCTAGTCAAGATGGGCAAGGGATTCGCTGCATCTACAACTTCACTTCACAACGACCTCTGTCGTGGTTGCGATCGCCGCATTTAGCACAGTGTCGCTTGTCGCGACAGGTGTTGTCCTTACACACGCCGAAACACTCGCAGTTTCGGGGGGTTCCTCTCTGTGCGGCTGGGAAGGTGTGAGCCGAGCCATCGACTCATCGACGCTTTCGATATCTTTGGGCGGGCCGCCAGCAGGTGACGAAGCATGTCCCTGTCAACAACCACATTTGTGATGGCGCCATCGAGATTGGTGCTACTGAAAGCTCGGTCGTGGACGCGGCACACATAGCATGTGCGTGACCCCGGACCATCAGACCATCAGCAGGCACTGACCAGTCTGTAGGGCGTTGCTGGAAGCTCTTGCTCAGCCTCCTCCTCCGCAAACCCTGCACAGCCCACGAAGACATCCCACAAAGAACACGACTCCTTCCCCCAGATGTCCAAGGAAGGATGCCCGCTCGCTTAATATTCGTCGCCACCGCATCCATTCCCAGGCAATTTTCTGCGCCTGGCTTTGCACCGACGACGGTGGAAGGGACATGGAACGGGGAGACTGGCTTCGATGATATCAACACTTGGGCACTTGGTTCCAATTTTCCCCGCATCTTGTCGCATTGAACGACGTTCAGCTTTATAGCAGCTGCAGCCACGGGCAAGTAGAGCCATGGTGGCTGTCATAGCAGTAGCTGGCCGGCACTTGTGCCACACGTGACGCAATGTGCCCACCGGTGAACGTGCCCATTGATGGGTGGAGCTTCGTCAGACACATCCGGCACCACCTTCTGGTGGTTAGGAGGGCATTTTTGACAAAGGACTTTGAGACAGACACGAACTCGAAGGAGCCAGCAGTCCGGAAATTAAGAATCGAGGCGCCAACTTGCTTTTCACCAGGTGCAGCATGCTTCTGCATGTCCGGCGTTGCTTGTCAGAATCTGAAGGTGCATCAGAATGCTATATAGAATGCGTCTTCCGCATCTGACTCAGGCTCCTTAGTCTGAGGCGTCTGAGGCACGGCGGCTTCTGGTACAGTAGAGTCACGCGAAAGCAAGTTGGTCTCGTCGCCGTTTCGAGCAAACTCCTCGCTTCAGTGGCACCGAATGCTCCCCCCGCATACTTGGGAACAACGCCCAGTACCCCAGCGACCGGTAACTGCTTGTGGTGCCCTTGGGTGGCACGGAGCGAGGGTCGGAGATGCAACGGATTTCCCGCAACAAAGTATACACTTTCGACTACGCATGGAAAACATGAGCGCGTCCTTGGCCGCGATCCAAGCATAGGTAACCAAGCATCTGTGCAGCTGACCACGAGGTGTACTGTACTGTATACCGGTCACCCGAACCTGCCAGTATAAAATTCAAAAAGGCTCGCTCCGGCCGGTGTGCGGAGAGTCCGGACAAGAACATGTTGCCCCGCGCATGCTCGAAGCCAATACGCAAGCAGACCCACGCCATCCCAGAAGTAGAGCATTTTGTTCACCAACACCAACCGCATCAGCATCTGCGATCACGCTGGACGCCGTCATCCGTTGCGTGTCGCTCCACCGCACTGGCCCATACCATGCGTAAAACGTGGAACCACGGGGCTCTCAAGGCAACGCTGCCAACCCGGAAGTTGAAGCCTGAATGATGCAAAGCATAACTTCAAAACCATGAAGTTTTTTCCCACGGTGGGAAACAGCACCCTCAGCCAGGCTGCGTAGAAAATCCAAAACCTTGGCCAGCCTGGGCCTACCAGATTGCCAATTCTGCGTAGCACATTAGGCCGTCCATTGTCGCTAGCCACCCAGATGACGTCGTGGCGTGGAGGGAGCACGGTCCAAGAATAAGAGCACTAAGTCGGCATCAGGAACATGGCCTTCCAGCTCTTATGCGCGCTATCCTACAACACCTCCTTCGCGAACCCAGAGAACTGCTCTTTGAGCTGACTTTCGCATGCCTCCATGTCCTGCATGCACCCAACCTCTTGCAACACCAGAGATCGGCAGGCTAACGGCCAGGGGAGAAGACACCCACTGCAGTAACGGTGCCAACGCGGCTCTTATTCCCTTCTTCGAGGGAGAAAGGGCCTCGACAGGACGTATCGGCGCCACAGCAGCAATAAGACACAAGGAAGCAAAGCGCGTAACAACAAGTGAAATTTCAGGCAGCGAGCAGCTGTGACATGGGATGCCAGACCTGAACTCAAACAGGCTGCACTGACGCAGTACCTAAAGTGACCGTACTGCACCTGAACGTGTTTTACTTACTCACTCTTACTCTGTCTGTGCCACATTTGTTACCCTGGGGCGACACCAACATCATAGCGCTAGTCCGGCCACGCCCTCAATCACTGCCTGGCCAGTCAAGAGTTCTGATCCAGGCTTCATTCGAAACCACGCCGTCCTTCCTAAGTGGCATTGAGGGCTCGGCGTCCAGGGCTGGTTCAGACTCGCGTGCATAGCGATTTTTAGGCATGCCCAAGGCAGGCGACGTACTTGCAGGGGTCACTTGGAAATTTTGCTACCTCGGGCTTCAATCGCATTGGGGCTAAGGACTTCCGAAAGAGAAGCACCGGGATAGACGCAGTCGCCGATGGGATGATGGCCATGGGTTCGACTAGTGGGATGCTGCGGGCTTTTCTGAACTCTCAACCTCCAAAGCTCCAGCAATCCTTCCTCTATGATGTAGGCAGTGGATGCGAGTCCGTATGGATAAGTCAGCAGGGGACTCTGGTCAACGCACTGCTTTGGTCCCAGGGCTACTTCACACACTATGACTCGAAATCCCACGTTCTAGGTCACAAAATCGAACCGTCAGCTGCCAAGGGTGTCGATTGCAAACAGATCCCAGCAGAGAAGACACTGGGAAAGGTCGTGTCAAGGAGTTTTTCCAAGCGTCCAATCAAACTGGCCCTGATACAGAAGCACTCGGATGCCCGCCCGCAGCAGCGACTCGATCTCAGATGGGCTCGTGGATCTGGGGCATTCGTCTTTTCAAGGTTCATATGGCTCTGCATCTCAGCTACTCGGGCAGCTGATGTAAAGGCCCTGAGAATTACAAGTACTTTTCGAGTTTGACCTCCTACTCCAGGCCCTTTTCATCGATTCAAGGCAGGGTTAAAAGTGTTGGAAGGGCCTAGGGCCCAGAAAAAGCAAAACTAAGGCTCTGCACGTTTGCTGCCATTTTGGGAAAGACACTCGAGATGCGGCATCGATCGAAACTCATGTGCAGGTTCTTGGCGGCGGTGCGAAGAGACGGCATGAGCTGGCAAAATTGGCACTGGTTCCACTAGAATTGTGTATGTGCGTGAAGCTCCATAATTTGACACGAAGAGGGCTTCCCGACTGCTTCCAACGGTAGGCCGGTCGTCTAGATTCTTCATGCATCTGGATTTACCGGAAGTTCCCGAGCAAAGTTCGCCGCAAACCCTAATAAACTCTTGTACCCTACGCCCCTAAACCCCGGCGAACCCTTAACCCTAAAATCCTAAACCCTGAAGCCGTGCATTCAGGGGGTTTGGTGGGGTTTTGAGTCTGGAGCTTCGACGCTCTCTCGCTCATGCCAAACGAGTTTCTTGGGCTTTGTCATGTTTTCCCACGTGCTTAGATGATTAGGTCGTGCAGAGAGAACAACGGACGGAGCCTGTCCTGTGGCGCTCGGTCTTTCCGCACTAAACCCAGAAGTTGTTACATCAAAGAAACGGCGGAGCACACTGAACTCACCCCACTGGAACGGTTCTCAGCTCATCACACTCATGCAGATACAAATTTGCGGCTAAAGCCTTTTTCTCAGGTTAAAGACTCAGGCCGTAGGGCTTCCGGTTTAGGTGTGTATGCTTCTAAGGCTGACGGTGCAGATGCGCTCAATTGCACAATTCAGACTCAACACTCTAGAATGCACCTGGCTCTTCTGGCAAGATGCCTGCGGCTTCTGGGACTGCATGATATCGTCTCGGAGATTCAGCTGCACCTGCCGTTGGGCATAAGGCCCACGAGTCTAAAGTCTAAGCCTAACTGCTATTGCAAATGTCCTCGGGAAGCTCACCTGACTGCCTGTCTCAGTGGTGGTGGGACTGTACTGGTAGTGGTGGTTGAAGCAATAATGTCATCAGGGTTTTCTTTTGGGGTAATTGTGATTGTTGTGCTGAAGATGTGCCGGCAGAGCCTCTGGGCTGGTCCCGAAACGATAGTCGCGGGGGATGTGGAGGAGATCTTTCGTCTCGTTCCTGGAAAGTGTGAAGAAGAAGGCTCCATGGCAGCACCCGAACTACTCTCGAAAGCCTTCTTTGCTAGGTGCAAAGGAAATGCAAGATGCCTCAAGGTTCAAAGCCTGACTGCCTTCGGCACTCACATCCTGCTCTTTGGTTTTAGGGGTGTGTTAACCACAAGAACGGCGCGAACTCGCGGCAGCAGGAGCAGTAAACAAAACATCCTCAAAGGGCAGCAATAGTATCAGCGGGCCGTGTTGCTACTACTGGTCAAAAAGGAGGTGGTGATCTTCTCTGCACTTGCAGATTTTGCGCACCCAAAGATCCAGCCTTTGTACCCTGAATCCTCCGAAGCCAAACCTCGAGCCCTAAGCCAAGCATCAGATCGAAAAAGGTCTGCATCCGAAGTTCCATCCAGTCGTACGGCTCGGTTGTTCGCACGTCCTCTGGGTGGCGAATTTCGGAATTTCGTAAGATCCAGGTAGAACCTAAGTGGGGATGGAGGGCCATTGCATATAAGGGCTAGAGATAGAGGGAGCCGAACAGGAACTCCTTTCTAAGTACAGAGCATACTCGAAGACACTGTTTATGTTCCCTGTCAGACACTCGGCGACACTAGTAAATCTAAACCTGATCAGAAGGTGGGAGCCACATATTTCGGGAAGATCTTTCCATTTCCATCCCTTCGAAACTCCACGGTTTAGAGCTGGTTTTCGGGTCGTGGGTTCGGTCGGAAGGCTTTTGGGGGAACGATTGGATGCCGCGGCCCGTCGGCAAAGGCAGCCCCGCTGTTTAACCCTAAACCTCCAAACCCACACCCCAAAGAGGACCTGAGCCACAAGACTCAAAGCCTGGCAAAAGCTACCCCGAGCTCAGCCAGGGACATAGGGGTTGATGGCCGAAACGTTTCTCCTGGTCGCGGGCCAGAGATGTTGCCGGGATTGGGTGCAAGGAAATGACTGATTGTGGGTATGTTCGAGACTGCCGATGTTTTCGCTCTTTGATCAGGGTTAGCAGAAAGAGTAGCAGTGTCGGCGATGTTGCTTCAGAACGGCGCCATCATGTCCCAGTATCACACGCCTGTGTTAAACCAGTTCGCTCTCGAATAACAAGTTCAAGTGAAGGAGCCCTCGCATTTCTGCTCACTGTCGGGACACGTTATCTTTCAATACTGAGAGGCAAGGCTTCCTCATTACACATCAAACGACAAAAGCTCTGCGTAAATTCAGTCGCTAGGACATACGGAAATAGCCAACATCTCAACTTTAATGATGCTCTCCTCTTCGGACCAAAACAAACCCTACGATAACCTGCGACCAAGATATAACCTAATCTCGTTTCGTTTAGAAGGGCTTTGTCCATTTAGGAGTCGACAAACAGTCTGCAAACCTGCTATACGGAAGTAGAAAACCAGTGCATAACATGACCACACACTCCCATTATCCTCTATATTATACATATATACATATATACATATATACATATATACATAGATACATATATACATATATACATATATACATATATACATATATACATATGTACATATATACATATATACATATATACATATATACAGATATACATATACACACATACACATATATATATATATATATATACATATATACATATATACATATATGCATATGTACATATATACATATGTACATATGTACATATGTACATATGTACATATGTACATATGTACATATATATGTATATATGTATATACGTATATACGTATATACGTACATACATATACATATGTACAAGAAAACATGCAGAAATGTCCGTATATGCCTATGAACATATATACATACATGTATATATAATGTCATACATGTATAAAAAATGTAAAAGTACTTAACAATATATACATGTTTGCATGTATGTATAATATACATAATCAAATTTTGGCTCTCTATATATATATGTATATATATATATATACATATATACATATATATATTCGTTCAAAAAAATTGTATATGTTGTATATGCAAAACATATACAGTATATTAAAATATACAATATATAATATCTAATATCTAATATATAATATAATACAAAAAAATGTAATAGATATATGTACATACATACATACATGCATACATACATACATACATACATACACATACACATACACGTATATCTATATATATATATATATGTATATATATACACATCTTGACATACACACTTACACAAATATTGACATATACGCATAGACACATGTACTGTATGCATGTACACATATATACACATACACGTATATGCAAATATACATATACAAATAAAAAGAACTGTAATACATATCTACATGTACGCAAAGAAAACATACATGCATGCATGCATGCATATATACATACATACATGTCTACATATAACGTGCGCTTCTTTGTATATATGTATGGTTATACATATATGCACGCTTACACACGTACATGTTTACATAACGCTCAAACATATAAACATGTCAAAAGTACAAAGACATATATACACATATACATATGCACATATATGCCTACAAACGCATAAACATAAAATCATGTAGGCATGTATACACTCGTAAAGACATGCATGAAAACAACTATATGCAGACGTCCGTACGTATATACACACGCACACAAACAGAAATACAGCAAAATGCCAGCCCAGGCTCACAAAGCCCTCCATCTCCTGCCAGACATGTGGCAAAGAAGGGAGCGACTGTTTTATGGCTCGTTGAACACACTTCTTGTCGCGCACTTGTGTGGAAATGAATGAGCTATCCATAGACACGGATGTACCAAATAACGATGCACACCTATGAAACTATCGATCGGCCGCTTTTACATCTGGGTCTGCCTACATGCACGCAGTCTAAATAAACGAACATGCACCCGTGAACCGTGAAACAATCACCTTTAACTTTCTTCTCTCAGCTCCAAGTATCTGAAAGTCTGAGCTTTGAACCCTAACCTGCAAGTTGAACTTCCATGTTCAGGTCCGAAGTTGAGTTTTTTTTGCCTCCTCCATAGCTGAGCAAGTCACAAAGCACAAAGCAGGTTGACAGGTCTCATACTGGTGAATTCAACCCCGGGCATTCAAAGGGCAGCGAGTCGCAACTTGCAGCCACATCAAATATTCAACTCTTCACGGTTTCAGTGCGCACATTCATTCACCGTCGGCAAAATTCCGTCAATCTTGCAAACGAGACCAGACAACATTACAAGTTCTAACGCAGTGTTGTCTCAGGACTGAGCAACGTGCACCCCAAGCCAGCTTCAGGAATTTTCAGACTGTCGAAGCTTTGACTCTCCAGCAGCACTGACCTTATACACGACTTCCAAGACAGCACTTAGTGGATAGGATCAGTGAACACTATCCCAGGAAACTTTCTGTGCTTCATCCCAGATGCTAGATACCTTTTGCGGCATTCCTTCCTGAAACCGAAAAAGTACACAGCTACACTCTACACCAAGAAAAGTGGATGTTTGGATTGCAAGTAGGATCCCCTCTTCACGGGTGCTGGACCCTGATGAGCAAACCTTGCGAGACCTGTTTACCACAAGAATCTCTCTTAGATGCTGACACGTTCCTTCTCTACCCCCAACCCTTGCAGCCTCAGCCGTCTCATTCTTCAGCCCTGAGCAAAGAGCTCTTGAAGCGCTTCTGTCGAATCCACTCGCACCTATATTCACCCCGTAAGTAAGCA